AGTATGATAGCAAGGAGAACAATGTGATGTACAAATTGCCACAATCACTACACATGTCAGCCTGTGGAGAAGGAGCTACATGTATCTCACATTTCAGGACAGGGATGTATAGGATTTCACATCTTTCTCTGGGGAGAAAATATCAGGACCCCACACAGGGAGAAATGTGAGGAAAGCATATGCTCAAGTTATTGAAAAGGAGGTTTTCAAACATGTACACAGTAGGTCAGAAACTGGAATGCACATGTCAGTTGAATGACATTCTTATCTTCAGCAGAACATTGATCACTTGCACACAGAGTTGTCAAAATAGTTCAAGGGAATAATAAAGGGTTTGGTACAGAATTGCTGGAACTAAATGCTGTCATTTACTTGTGTAACCATCATATAAATCTTACCACCCAACAAAATGAAAAATCTGGAGTTCAGACTCAAAGAAATAGAAAGGAAATTGTGTAGTAAATGCATGAGCTGCAGAGATTTTCTTCTGAGTGCTTAAACACAAATAACTGAAAGATCTGAAGCTTGCAATGACAGAACATTATGCTCAAAGGTGATGCATTTCAATTAGGAAGATTCTTTGGTTTCACCTGGCTATCAGTGTTATTTTAGTGTCTGTTTCATATTACATTAGATCTGATCTTTCCTTGGCATGAATAATCAGGCAGTATTTACACAGCTTAAAGCACTCTACCAAAAATATCTAACTGTAGGATGCAGATAAATGGCATTAAAATTGCAAGAAATCCAAGAAAGGAAGACAACAAAACCCATGAGGGATTTGTGCAACTAGAGTAAACACATAATATAAACAAGTGTGTGTAATTAAAGCACAGTCACAAAGGAAATCAAAGACAGAATAGAATATAATTGCTAAGTATTAGACCAGTAAAGACCTTTTCCATTTGTTTACATACTGACAGAATGTTTACAAATATAATCTAAACCCAGAAACTAATTATATGTTTGTTACAGCTGCAGCAAGCATATAAAAATAAAATAAAATTGGCACGCCAATGACTGAGCCAGGAGAAAGATGGTTGACTTGCTGTACCTGTTGGGAAAACTTAAGGTGTACTTCTAGGCTAGACTTCAGCCCAGAGAGCAGCCCTTAGATCACCAAATAGTCATTAAGATAACCATAACTGTAGTTTTTTAGATTTAGACATGTAGAGCCTGAGCCTGAAATCTCTACTCAGGCAATACTTTATAATGCAGTACAATTGTTATGGTAAATAAATGGAATCAAACACTGCTGAACTCAATGGACACTCCCTCTTGCTCGCTACAGACAGGATTGCACCCTGTGGGTCTATGTGGGACTGTGCTACTCCAGTGGAATTGCAATGGAAAAGAGCATCTAAAAGCTCTCCTCAGCCAGCTGTAATTCAGTTTTGATCCTGCTTGTACACCAGGGCAGATGCATAGTTTTGAAGTCTGAGACAAGGAACCAGTTCTCTTATTTACAAGAGTGGAAATCCAAAGTGGTATCAGCAGAGCAGAAGTCCACAGATTCTGGCCAAACCTTTTAATTTGAGAAAGAAATAAAACCTTTAGACTACAAAACAAATAAAATATGAAAAGATCTGAATACGATAGAAAACCCAGAAACCATGCTTTGCTGTCATCTTAGGACAACATCCAGCAAGGCACTTCGGTATATGTTTAGATTTAAGCAAGGAATCAATCCTACTGAAGTTAAGCTTTGCTGGATATGGGATATCTTTTTCTGAGTTGTATTACTTTTCAGAGTTAGTATGCTGGCAATTTTCAGATCACAGTAACAGTTTTCCCTCTCACATCCACCAGCTGTCTTTTCACTCTTGAGCTGAACATAAACTTACACAACATTATGACATACATTCCAAACTCAGCCAGCTAACTTTTCCAATGGTTAGTACAACAAAACGGCTACAAAATTTTACAGACACAATCTGAACAGCTGCAATATAGAACTGTACTAATTGCAGAGAGCCAAGCACAAATCACTCCTTTTTTTGGTTGGAAAATGGCAAAATTTGTAGTGGTTTCCTGACCACATGAGCAAAATTTTTTTTAATACATGTGAAAGGCACTAGTCCACTATTACTTGGCAATAGCCTCCTGAATTACTGATACATTCTAATGTGGGTTTATCTGACATACAAAAATTTGTCAATCAGATCTTTTTCAGGCCATTCAGCTTACCTGCATGGCTTGGTCTATAACTGCCATCTTTATTTATTTTAGCACATGGATAATGACTACATAGGGACCCTTTAAACTACGTAATATGTTCATGCGTCATCAAGGCCCTGATACAGCATCTAATAATTCTTTGGCAAAGAATACATCCCTGGTCATGTGGTCGTATCAGAGCAGAATCCTACTAATTTTATTTATAATGATAGGTATGGCATGATACCTGCCTCATAGCAGAAGATGCATATGAGACCACCTCATGAAATGCAGCATTACAATTCAATATATATTGTTGTGAAGTGGGTCTATGTTTTAGGGAGGGCTATAGATGACAGGACTGGCCATGGGATTTAAGGTCAGTATTACGTTCTGAGACTGTCTCTTGCCACAACAGAACACTGGTTTTTTGGAGCAGGTGATACTCAGTTTAGGCAGAATAATTCTACATGATGTCTGAAGGATTCATGGCATTAGCAAACACAATTTCATGCAAGTTTGGGATGGAGATCAGCTGCTACAGAGCAAATTGGTGCCGCTAGTCTTCTAAACGTGCCTAGCTCAGAAATATGAAGGTACAGTACAATTTTCTAGGTCTGGCACTGTAAGCATTGATGCCCTTATCACTGTCAACTCAGCTGATCACTAGACATTCAAAGCTAGATTTTGGAACTACTCTTCTGTAGTGTAAAGACATCTGAGCTGCCTGAAGTGTGCACAGAACAGCAAATGCTTGCTTGGAGACAGCTAGTTCTCCAAGCTCACCCAACAGCAGAACAGAGGAAAAAAAAATTTACTCAGCCTCTCTCTGCTCCTTTTAGTCATGTATCTAAGCCATCACAAGATTTTCAGCAGCAAACTAGTCCTGAAAGATAGCAAGGAGGAGAGTAAGACTAGAGAGGGATGCTCCTATAGTGGTGCAGCAGTATGCTGCATCTTCACAGCCTTTCTGCAACAGAAGACTCATAAAGATGAACATGAATTCCATCTCTTTAGCTTTACACTGCAGCAAAAATGTCTTGAATGCCTGGAAATGGGGTCACCAGCATACTTGAGATCAAATGCATTTAGTGTCATGCTTGCCTATTCAATAAAGCATTTTAATAATGCTGTACTTGTTGCCATCTTTAGGACTGGCTAGTTTAACTACATAACTACTTAATTAAGGTGAAAAATCCTAAATGGATACTAATACTGACATTTGTAACAAAGTGTAAAGCAAATGACAAATATGTTGCTCTTTTTTCCTTAGGATTACATTGAAAGGACCCCATTCCTAAAAAAATTCAACAGCAGAATATAGTCTTTAATTTGTACCAAAAAAAATTTTAAATAGCCTTAATTGTAAATACATTGTCTGGTGTAAACAGTATTCTGCATGTGAGCTGGGTAAACATAATTGTTTGTCATATATGTCAAAATAAGGAACTTTCTGAGTAAGTGCTTATTTGCTAAGGTTTTATAGTATGTTCTCATGGACACAATAATGGGATTTTTTATATATAGTCTTAAGTGCAAAATATTAATATATTTAAAAATGCATCAATTGTTAGTCAACAGATTTTTTTTGGCTTATAAACATTAAAAAATTTTAAAAATCTATGTATAAAGTTAACTGTGCTTCTTTAGAAACTTTATGTGATCGTTCACATACAGCTTTAAAATATTTTAAAAGTTTAGTAGCAATTCAAAATGCACTGTCTCAATGATTTGCAATCATAAGACTCCTAGAATATGGAATGTTACCCATTGTTTTTAATACTCTGGGCCAGATCTTGCTGTCACCCAGAGTAATTCCTTATATCAGACTTATGCTGGTGGAAAGGATATAAAAACTTGGCTTCTACTGGGGGTTAAAAAGAAGTATATCATGCTTCAAAACTTGCATGCAATCAAATCAGTGACCATATTCTCTTGACAGACTTCCTTTTGTCTAGGTGTTTCTTATCTGCACTGCTCAGTGTCCGACACTTATCTTCATTAAGCTTCCGGGAATAAACAAAAAATGGAGAAGAATACACCAGCTTCTTGACTGATGAATTAAGCTTCTTCCTCCCACCAAATAAATCAAATCATAATCAGGGTGGGTTTTGTTGTCAGAAAGTCTGAATTATGTTCAGATACCACTCTCAGCTGATAACAATAACTGATCTCAGCTGATAACAATAACTGATAGTTACTGTTATATTTTATTTGTTTAATTTCTTCTAAATTTACACAATGGGCTTACAAGGGCCAATGCAAAGTTCTTCTTGTGGTGTAATATTCCACAAATGTTAGTTTATATTTATGTATACAGCATTCCTCATTAATGGTTAAACATATTTTTCAAGTATGAATTTCTGCATGTAATTCTCTTCTTCAGTATGCAGATATTCTGATTTTTAGTGTGCATCATCACAAGTGATACAACATAGAAACATTTCCTCTTCTTTCTCTGCCACATTGTTCATGTTCATTGAAAAGAGTGATAAATATTCAACACTGCCATCAAAAACTGTCAGTGCAGTTCCTCTATAAGCAGAGCACTTGAAGGGGGAAATGATGTCCTCAACAGTGCATGCCATGATATGTGCCTTGGACTTTCTGGTCCTGTAGATGAGATGTTTTGACTGAGCAAGAGAAGTTCTGAACTTGTCTCTTATCCTTCCAAAGAAAGAAAATGTCATAACCAAAAGAACTATAAAGATTTTTCTCCCGTCCTCTTGCTAACCTTGGTGGTAGTGGTTGATTGTCTGCAAAAGGAGAATGAAAACCACAACAGAATGTCCCAGAAATGGGTCATTTTAGAGTTCTGCATAAGATCCACACAGCTTGATGACTGAGCAGCAATATCCAAAGAGGAGGAAAATGCTTTGGTTGCCTCGAGCTAGCATGTTAAAAGAAAGGTATGCTTTCCTTCCACACAGGTAAAAGTGCTTGTTAGCTGATGAAGCAGGAACGACACTCAAATTACTGATGGAAAGAAGGTAGAAATGTGAAATGCCTCCTGTCATTTACAGCACACGTAATCAGAAGAATTTCAGTTTCTCTCCTTGTTGTGCTTTAAAGTTCTTCTCGGCACATAGGGAAGTTGACAAAGGTGAAGACATTAAATTCTATCAATATAGAGAAACACAGGAAAACAGCATAAAGAAACAACACGTAGATGCCTAATTTCCTGTCAAGTTTCCACTTATTTACATGGATTCCAAACACCTGCAAGCAAAGAAAGTGTCAGTTAATTAAGCCCCAAAGGAGACTCTTGGAAACAACCATTATAAGCTAAAAATGAGATTCTTTTGAATGAGAGCTCCTAAAAATGAGAGTCTTTCAAATTAGAGATCCTGAAGGAAGATTAAAATACATTCTCAGTATTTTATAGATCAAAAAGGCAACATACGTTTTTCTGATCAAGAAAAGGAATGTAAAAGCCCAAACTAAGAACTCAAACTCTGGCCTGACTCTCAGTTGTCCTAAGATCCTTTTACAAAATATGAAATGAACCCACTTTAAGGCCCCTTCACACGTTACATAACTGAGAAACAGACCCCTAGGTGCTCAGTTTCAGTTTGTGGTGCATTTTCAGTCACATGGGGCACATTCTATTCAGGCAGCACTCATTCATTGATTCAGTATGAACTAAAGGAATGCACCAAACTACATGAATGCCTCTCCCTCCAGTGTTCCCCTACAGATCCTTTATGTCCCAGTAGTACACCAGCACTTAATGTTCATTCTTTCAACAGCTTCAGAAGAGGTGCTTTCCTTGATGTTTTGTTCAGGTCCAGAACTAAGGGGAGTTACAAGTTACAGGCAGCAAAGCAATGAAGTCCTCATGAAGACATCTATTTTCAATGATGTTGAGTGCCTCTGAATTATTGTTTTGCTAAAAAATCCCCATTGAGTTTTGCTGGGAGGGTCTGTGCAAATCAGGTTATCCAGCAGAACAAATGAGACAATAAGAGATGCTTCAAACTCAAGTGATATGGCCTCTGCTATGAAAAGACTCTTTTCAGAAAGGCATGAAAGGCTAACATAGTAACACATCTGCATAATCCTCCCTTTTTTTTCCCAAAGTGCTGATTACCAATGTGCATGCAGCAACATCAGATACAAATGTTTACAGAACTTTGTTGTTTCATAGGCACTGTGCAGTATGGCAGAACTGGGGAGAAGAGAAAAGAGAGAGGAGAGAGGGGAGAGAAGAACAGGCTCCCACAGCTTACGTATCAGATGCATTAGGAAGTTAGTGGCAGAGTGAACAGCTCTGGTCATTCTATTGCTTAAGTCATGCACAGGTGATGTGCAGTTTTGTAAGACCTAGTCATGCAACAGTGTGAAATCTCCAGTGATGACTGCCTCCTCTACAGAGCCTCCACAGGCAATCAGTGAAAGACGTTAGTGTAAGTGGACATTTTTATACCTTTGGGATTTGATTCTTCCCACAGAAGGTTCCTTGGGAGTCAGCAGGATCAGACCTTAAGTACCAGCAAAATTGACTTTTGAAACAGAATTATTGTTTCATCTTAACAAGTCATGTGTTACAAGGGTAAGTGTCTTATGCCGAGTGACATTTAGCATGCCTATTCAAAGTCCTGAGGTTCACATTCCTCACAGACTAGTCTTCATTAAGTGTTTTGGCTACAGCATTTGATAAGTCCAGGCTGGTTTTGGAAATCAGAGACAAGGGCAAGGGGTGATGAAGCATACCTGGGTCTTGTCCCAACATAAAGTATAGACAGGCCTGGGATATGCAGCTGGACAAAGGAGTACAGAAGTATTATTGGATCCCACAATTTCAACACTGCCACTGAAATTAATGGGACCTACACTTATCCAGCATCTCTTGCACTAAATGTCAGATTTCAGTCTTCACTGAGGACAATGGTAGCTCTTCAACTCATGGTATTGCTAGCAGAATGATACTTTACAAGAATCAGTGCTTCAGGGATAATAAGTATTTCCATTTTATCCTTCCATAACATGTAAATACCTAGTAAGTATTTTGCAGTTGGAATACTTGGAGACACTCAAATACTTACAGTAAGTGCCACTGATCCTAGCAAAAGTGCAACCGAATAGACCAGTCCTTTGCTGTTTATCTTAACCTGTGGGAATTAGAAGAGACCTTTAAAATGTTCAGCATATAACTGTGCTTTAGAGATCAGAAATCAATTTACTGATTTACGGTCCACCTTCTGTTTTGAACAGTGGCTGGCTTACACATTTTAAACTATTCAAATCCATGACAGATTTATCATAACAAAGAGCGGGAAGATTAAGGAATCAAAACAAATGTATAAGTAATCCCACCCCCATAAAAAAAAAAAAAGATAATCAGCATTTACGATGGATTTTATGTTAAAAGATCCTCAGGAGAGTGAGATATGCTGTTATTCTCATCTTACAGACAAAAATACTAAGGTACAGGGAGATAGACAGGTGTGCTTGAAGCTGTGTAGTGAGAAAGTGACAGAGCCATGAACAGATATCCATGGCGCTATTTTTCTGCTATTTAGTATAATGTACTCTGGTTGACAAATTGAGAATTAATTGCAGCTTGTGGAAGGAGAATTGCTTCCTTAAGTCCTGCTTCCTTGGCAAAGAAATAACACATTATTTAGCAACCAATACCATGCTCAGCAGGTTGTTGTTTGTTTTGTTTTTTTTAAATTTTATTATAATGTTTTCTTTTTAGGATTTTTTTTTTTAAATAGACAAAAAGAACAAATTAAAGATTTGCCAAGTATACATACAGTTGATCCATAATCAATTGCCATGGTCTGCAAACCCCATGGAACACCAAGGCCCACCAGAATGTCAAAGACATTGCTCCCTATTGTGTTGGATACTGCCATGTCACCGAGGCCTGCAGAGAAACAAAACAACAACTCTTGGGTAAAAACAAAGTATAGGACCTTTATTCTGTGTACTAGAGGAAACTAAAGGGGAATGATCTGCATTGATCCAAGCCCCCTTTGGACTGGTCAGAGTATCTGAGGTAGGGAGAGAATTTCCATAATCTTTCCATGACTTCTGAAAAAACTGTGCAAAAATTGCTCACTCCAACTACATCTTCCTTGTGTCTTGGAGAGCCTTTACTGAGTGTGTGGTATCCATTCAGCATCTGAGTTCAATGCTAATTAGAAAGACAACTCTTATTCTAGATAGTCTGCAGCCACAGGGAACCTGGTATTGGATTTACTATGTGGACATGTGGCCTTTATCTCATGTGAATGATGAAAAGTGATCCTGAAAATAACCGAACGAGACGGTAGTCAAAGATATTAAGCACTTCTGTGGGGCTTAATCAGCAATGATTTCACTTTAGGAACAATAAAATGCTACAAGAAAGGAAAAAAAAAAGAGTGAATGATGGTTAAGTCCCTAGGCATTACTCGAAATCTACTCCTACTGCTCATCACTGGCTGGCACCTCATTCTGCACCAGTGTCAATGGATATGAGAAAGGCATAATTCTTCTCTGTCCCTGCTAATTTCCCTTAGGTACTAGTCTAACTATTGAGTCACTTCCACAAAGCAAATAATGGAAAGGAAGAGGAACTCTGACATAAATGGGACATGTCTGTCAAATACTTTAAGAGTACACAGAGTGGACACAGACACTACCACACCATAAGTACAGCATCTTCTCGCAGGAAGCTGCTGAGAGAAAGGTTATGCTTTGGATCCATATTATGGTAGTGCCCATCTCTACTTTTTAGATATCTGCCTGCAATCTGTCAGTAAACATCTCTCTTGTATCCAAGTAGCGCAAAGTCCCTGTATTGTCTTTGAGAGAATGGAGTTGCTTTTTGCCAAGCTAGTGCTTACCTTCACTTTCAGAGGCAACAATCCCTACAGTAGTCTAGCCTAATACTAAAGAAGAACTAATCTAAAGAAGCAGTCGGTTCATTTAAAAATGTAACATGTTCTCCTTCTGTTCTTGCAAAAATCTATTCAGTTTAATACTACATATGGAAAACTAATTTTGTAGGGAGGTGGTTCCACAAGAATCCTGAATATTTTTTGTACTGCTTCTTGTGAGATTTTCCTGCGCACAACATATAATACAACCTGGAAAATGAAATATTTTAAATATATAATTCTTTTCAATCAAGCAACATTCAACAGCATTACTCCTATCTCAAACTACAAAGGTGGGGCTTCTGAGTACTTAATTTACCACTTCAGAACCCATGTTGTTTGCACAATGACATGTGCTGGAGATCCCATTATCTGGAAAAAAAAAAGACTATGGGAATTGGAATAGTGGAAAAGAATACAATTAGGACCTTCTCTTATTATACTGTAGTACCAGAGATTACACTGTCAGGTTTAATGTTTTTCAACAACAGGAAGGGATGTGACTTACAGGTATTTCTCAAGTAGAAAAGGAAACATAAAGAACCTTAATCAAAACTTAGAGATATATGAGAAAGCCTTTGACAATTTCAATTGGAAAGCTGAGGAGGACATAACTGACATTTATCTAAAACCTTTTCCGGTGAGGCTATTTGTATGTCCTAATGGGAAAGAATTGGATCAGAAGTATGCCTGGAGCAACATCACTTCTGCCACATCCCCTTAAACCACTTCACTTCCCTGGGTTCGAGAGGTCTTCTAGAAATCAGTACAAGTTTTACATGGACAAGTGCTGGTCAGCATATATTCTTCAATGTAGTTTTCAATAGCTGATAGTCCTGTTTTGTCTACTACTTCTATCTTTTTACCCTGACTGATACATACCATGCATGGGATATCTGAGTGTTGAATGACCTTCTAGAATGCTAGGGTGTGCCCAGTCCCAATAAGCAAAAGATAACAGGACAGGGATTATTTTTTTGGTTCACAATAATTAGCAAAGTGTTTTGGCTTTTAACGAGACCCTGAAATAGTAAAAATAAAAGAAAAAAAGAAGAATTGAGAATTTGTGTGTATGGAGGAAGCAAATCACAGAGCATGTATGTAAGATTTCAGATACGCTTTAGCAGACACAGTACCTTGTCTTGCTACTATTAAGCTGGCCATGCAGTCTGGGACACTTGTTCCTGCAGCTAGGAAAGTAATGCCCATGATCACATCTGGTATCCCAAGGGTGTATCCAATCACAGTCACCTGAACAGTGAGAAAAATAGATTAACCTAACATATTTGGAAAGTCTCCTCATTCCAATACAGTTGTGGCATGCTCTTAACTTTGGTTTCTGGTGTGGATCCTAACAGGATTAGACTGAGTATAGTTATCCATTTTTGCAAATTAAATAATTGTGGAATAACCAGCCTAAAACCAACTCTGTGAAAAGAAAAGTACTTTGGGTCCTATTATTCAACATTTTATGAGCAAACAAAAAACTCTATTTTCTGTACTTCTAACAGGGTATACTGCTCTTTTAAGGAGGAGGACAGACATAATCCAACCTGTGGTTTTTTTTTTTTATTCCTGGGAATGGTAAGATTCTCACTGATTCTTTTCTCAAAAGGACTGCAACCAATTTATGTTGTGATATAGGCGCAGAGATATAAAGAACTTATTTTATTCCAACACAGGAAGAAGGAACCAGCTTCTTGCATAACTTCTGATACAATCCCAAAGTGAGCAAGTCTGGTTATATTGTCCCTTGAGAGTCCAGATGCAGCTTTAAAAGAGCTGAGGAAACGGCTGAAGCTTGTAGCAGAGCTCTTGGAAAGGACAGGGAACTGTATTTAGCTAGAACATCCAAAGAAGGCTGAAAAAGTGTCAAGAAAAAAAGGCTGAATGGGCAGCTGAAAAGGATCTATGGCAAATGAAAACATACCAGCAATCATAATACACTTCACTAAGAATTTTCTTGCATTATTCCAGTATACTTGAGTTGTTTTACACCACTTCTGAGTCTTCAAATTTTGCCATCCATTTGCCTTTTATGCATGTTTCACTATCAGACCTTGTAGTCAAATTTCTAAAGGTGTCTCAGCTGCTGAGAGTTAAACATTTTCATTTAAGCTCCCTTTTACTAGTAGGATGTGGATGTCCACATTCTCTTGAAAATCAAGCTGGCACCTTCCTGTACTGTATTGGGCCCTATACAATAAAGGCTCAATTATTTGTGCAGAAAAGAGCAGCAGAAAGCTAGAATTATAATAATTAGAGCATGCACTGAAGAGACTGCACTACAATTACATGCCTTTCTTTAACAAATATACAGAAGATCTATTATCTATTGAGATGCACATTTCACTCAGTATGGGAAGTCCTGCTACATGCACTTACCATCCACACCATGAAGTAAGAGAACAAGGCAATCCAGAGAGTGGATAAGATGAACGTTACCATAAAACACTTCTCCCAGCGTGGTTTGCTGCAGTTTGGAATGGTGCAAAAGAGTACGAATATCAATGGCCATGTCAAGATCCATTTAATTTTGTTCATTTTTCCATCTGCAGGACAAAGAAAGGAAAGAACCAGTTTAGATTTCCTATCGCTATCCCAGGCCCAGCTACACCTCTTTGAACACAGCAGATGATCCCAGAAGGATCTTTACAACTGTGCATGTCAGCTCACTTTCCAGTGTACTTTTCATCTATACTTGGTCTCGTCAATCTCAGCCAAGTTCTGCAAGCACATCCAGAATCTTATAGTTAAGACTGCCAAGGTCTATGTAAATCTGTGAAAGAATTACAATGATTTAAAAGCATGGCTGATTTTAAAACCAAAATCAACAGTCAGGTTTGTTGCTCTTTCAAATATCTGTACTACTACTAATCCAAAATAAAAAAACCCAAAACCAAACAACAAAAAAACACCACCACCCATACCTTTTAAAAAGGAAGATGAAAATCCTTTTAGTGAAAATAAATGGCACCATCTGTGCAGCAACAGAAAATACTTTCACAGAAGACAGAGGCACAGACCCAACCTATGAAAATGACAAACTTGTTTCACGTGCCTCCCTGTGGTCACTTGGGCAGAACTTTAAACTAGTACTTAGTAGATCTAGACTTGTTAACTCTCTCTAACTGCATACAGCACCACCTTGAGATAGTCTCTCATCCTCTATAAAAGGAAACAAGATATTGACCTCTCTCGTATAGCTCTTCAAAATAATGGTGAGAAATACCAGAGAACTGTCATTACTGAAGACAAGTACACACCTTCCCATTTTTTAAAAAGTAAAGTACTGTAGATGTGCACATAAATCCCAATATACAAAACAGAACTATTTTATAATTGGGCCACAAATAAATGGGGCACTTATATGTTTCACGAGGTATTCTGCAAGTAGGATTTGTTTATCAGCTAAACCAGAGTATCATAGCCAACAATATGGCATTTTTTGTTTGGCGTTTCTTTATGTTGTTTTAGAATTGTGCTAGTAAGATTTCCATCATTAACTGACAATTATATGCATGAGATCTAATAAAATACGCCATTTTGAATAAAAAACGGTTGATTGCATTGAAGAAAATTATCAGATACATCTTCCAATGAAGTTATTTAGCTAAATTATAAAGGGCAGGTAATAATCACTGAAAACTCCTATCAATTTCACCAGGAATTTTCTTTCAGCAAAGACATCAGGATTTAGGATTTGTTTAATGGGACTCTTTGTTGTGAATTTAATGAGACTGAAATCTGTCCTCTGGATGAATATGCACCAGATGCAATGAAATTAAATATTAAATATTTAAAAATTAATAATACTTCTGTAATTTATGAGGCTACTTACTAGTCTAATTTAACTTGGTGAGTTCAAATGCAAGTCTTTATTAATTTACTTCTGTATGTATTCTAGTACTAAATTGTCTTGCTTCAGTTATGAATCGGCTCCTTAACTTGAGATTTCCTTGTGAATTCTGAGACGCCATCAACCACCAGGAAATCTCAAGACTAAGCTTGGCTCTTTATTCCCATTTAGCTTGTGGCTGTGGAACTTCTAACACCTAACTTCTAAACCTACTGAAGTCTCCTCGGGTCAATTCTAATTCTAGAATTTTAAATGTCACTTGGGATCTATTATAGATTTTACAGGAAAGTCCTTTTTTCCTCTGGTTACATATACTGCTATACAGATTTTTAAAACAGTTATCTTTTATCTGTTCTGTCCAGAAAATTACACTTCTTAGATCACTTCTCACTTAAATTCTGTTAACAAGGCTGTAAATATCCTATGGTAATTTATACCTCCTCCTGTTTAATTTGTTACAGTTAGGATCATTAAAAGACTCCTGGCTAGTTAATTTGTACTCTTTTCTATCCAAGTTGCTAAGCTTGGTTCATAGTCAAATAAATCAGTATGGCCTAGGCCAGTGATTTCCTCAGTGAGTAATTCCAAATGCAGGGTGAGTGGGTGACTGTTTGACAAGGAAAGATTATGGATACAATTCTGATCTGATGTGGGTGTCATCTGACTGACTTCGGTATCGCTACACACAGGAGATTCAGTCTCATTTTTCTTTTCAAGAACATGAATAAAAGAAATAAAATTGCCTGGAGAACAAATAGATAAAAAATAGATGCGCTCAGCATCTGCTAGGGAGTATGTATCTTGTCAGGGATCTTCTCTAGCACCTCATATTACTTAAACAAAATCTTAACTGTGAGAATTCACAGTGCCTTACCACTGGCATTGCTATGCTTGCCTAGTTCCAGGAAAACCAAAATATTAGTGGAGGAGGACTTGCTTTTCCCTTATCTTTGCTCAGTTTGAATGGATGAGTGTCAGATTAAAATTCCTGGCTCTACTAGTGGTGATGCTTTATCCACACAACATCATGAGTCAGAACAGTTTTTTAGAGCCAGATGGTTTGTGGAAGTGACATTTGCATTCATTACATGGCAACCAGGCTTGAGACTTCGAGGAACAACTGCATGTAATTCTGGTGTTTACTGGGTTGACAGAGAAGCCGACTGGCCATTTGCAGTTAGCCTAGAACAGTTCTGAGCCACCATGGCCGAAGCAGCCTACGTGACACACTTCACATTGGCATCTCTTGTGTGTCAGGATTTGCTAGCTTTTATAAACTTTCATATAAAGCCTTAAGTATATCTGGCCTCGATTCTGCCTCAGGCCATTTTCTTCAACTCCTACTATGCTGGGTCATGGAACTTGTGTGGCACCTAGTGTTAAAGAAGTCTACTTTTATGCTGTAACTTCATAGTTTTGTAAGAATTTAGTAAGTAATTTTAGCAGAAACCTCAATAAAGTGAGACTATTTCCTCAGAAAATGGATGACTTCATTCATTTCACCTGGCTTAGATGAATGCACAAGCAATATACAGCTTGAAAATTTTTAATTTTTTTTTTGTTCTTTTGAAATTACTTTTTATGCTGCTCTGTTGTTTTGTTTTTGATTACCCACTCTAAAATAATCATTAAAACGATTTAGTGATAAATTTGTTAAATTGGGGTATGCTTTAGTTAATGACAAATTGTTTTATGATTGTTGCTTAGCTCCCTAGTACGTCTGCAAAGAAGAAAATTATCATCCTCATTCAGGCTATTATATCTGATACATAGCTGTTCTGCAAAAACAGACAAACAGTTTCATTACAAGACCTTAGCTCAGTTGTTTTAATAGCAGTACTGGCCACTCCTGTGAGCCCTGGGTCTGAAGGCTCCTGCAGCAACACACATAGCTGAGGAAAGGTGTATTTTGTTTGTTGTACTCCCCACAACAATAAAGAAAGAATACCGTTTTATTACAGAAAGCAACACTGGTCTATATTGTGTTCACTTCATCCTGCTGTAGAACAGAAAGATGAGGGGTTTTGCATCAAGTTGTTTTTTCTAGTTTACACATCCATTTTTCTGTTTCTCCAGATATTTGGAAGCCAAGCATACCAAGTATTTCAGAGAGGTATCATCATAGAAGAAGAGCCCGATTACAATGTTTCTGTAAATGAAGCAGCAGCCCTAAAACAAAGAGCCCTTTGCTAATTTTCAATTCATTTCTGGGCTTGTCATCTTTCCAGATGTTATGCTTACAATGATTACTTTCACATACAGATAGTGTCCTGGTGAACAAAGTCAAAAACACACATCACAGCACTGACAGGAAACAAATTTTTCCTTAAGGCACTAAAGAAAGTGCCTTTTACAGGAAAAAAACTGTCCTATTTGCCACATTCACAGAGTTGAGAGGAGCTCAGTATGAAAGTGTGAAACTACATTAGTGTTTTCATTCAGATCAGGAGTGTACCCTTGAAGTAAATCTCTGATTGTCCCCATTTACTGTATTTTGGTTTGCAATTTACTGTATTTTAGTTTGAAACACAGAGCAGCCTTGCATCACACCACCAAGATTCCCTCGATATGAAGCTGAACCAGAAGCACAAACTTAAAAAAGTGTTCCAAATAATAACGGGCATTTAGTCCATGGGACCAAGCTAGAGCTACTCTGAAACAGAACTTCCAAACACATATAGTGCAGACAGCCTACATGTCCTAGTCAATAAGCTGCATAGAAAACACTTTTTTTGAGTTTAGACAGACAGGAGTCTGCAACTACACCATCAGGAGTCAGATCTAAGTTACTGTAGTTAGTTAAATTTGATAGCTTTTTCACTTAGTCTTCCCTTTAACAGTGTGGCAGTCAAGCACAGACCACTGCTCCACACATTAGCTACTTCAGAACATGCCTAAACCTTCACATGTGAAAAAAGCATCTCCTTACACAAAGCAATTAGTAGCCGACTGATCTAAAAAAATTATAACATCCTTGAAAAGCATGAATCTAATTGGCACACAGGATTTTCATAACTGCATGGTTATGAATTCATATGAATCTCTAATTTAAGGTAACTTGAAAAATGGGAAAAATTTTCTCTAATTTACCTCTATCTGCAAAATGAGAAAGGCTTCCTGGAGTTTACTATTGATTTCTATTTTTCTCAGCTTTTTTTTGCTTTTGATAATGGAAAACTTAGAAGAAAAATAAGGCATCTCCAGGCTGGCCTAGGAAGATTATTGCTGCCGGTTTTTTTCATGTTCCACTTTATAATTTTAAATTCCCTTTTTATCTTTTTAAATCTCTCTACCATTTTTCATTTAACTGCCCCCCCCCCCAACTGTTTTTCCCCCAGTGAAAAGTCATTTTTAAATTATCTGTCCTCTTGGTCCTAATTAGACTTTATATTTACAAAGATATGTTTACACCCACATATCATTACCAGCATTAATTCAAATCCTGACCTGAAAATGTGTAACAGTAACATACACACCCCCACACTGGGAGCTTTGTAATAACCCAGACAGCAAGTAAATTTCTGCTAGAAAGTGCTGCTGTTCATCAGAGTCGAGACTGATTGGAAAACTTTAATATATGTAAATTAGCCAATCTGAAAGCTTAATTCATTCTGAGCACGTGTACTATCCAAAAGACAACAGAGGAATATAAATTTTTGTCCCAAGTATGCAATTCAACATAGAAACAACTGA